TATACACTTTCTAACCATTTTTGAAAAAAAGATGATTGTAAAAAAAAGACAAAAAGACTGTAAAATTACTAATTATCGTAAATTCGCGTATATTTTGACTGTTGAGTGTTGATGTTTTAAATAATTGTTATCAGTCAACAGTTATTATCATACAATAAATTTTTAAAACACACAACCTGGAACTCTACTGCGCATGTGCACCGGGTCTCTTGAGCAGCGCAGCCTGGCAAGACCACACGAACTACACTCTTGCTCCGTCTATTAGTATAAGGTCTATGATATAGATGTATATGCATGAGATCACATGATTTGATGTGATTATGACTGATACAATAATAATTGATAATAGGCGAACGACGTACGCCATTTTGTGCGTATCACTAAGTTGCTGACATACCTATTTATTTTGTCATGGTATATATAATACTTTTAGCCTTCTGGTCTAGTAAATGAAACAAGGATCAACTTTTACTTTACCCGTTGATATTAGTGGTATTTACACTTCAAAGTATAATATACTTCATATACTATACTATCTTATGGCCGATGACGATTACGTGTCGTTATGTTTCGTAAATTTCATAAAAACTAATAAAATATTATACAATATTATAATAATACTTTATTCACTTTTAAAATATTTTATTATATAAAAACAACTATCTCCGAAACTTTGAAAACTTTAATAATATAATAATAACACAATAGTATTGTAATTTCAATACATAAAAAATAAAAAATCTTTCAAAAAAAAAAATCATAATAATAATTAAAATATTAAAGAAATAATTAAAACAATTGAACAAATAAACTTAAATTGACTTGTGAAAATCTTCAAAACAACTATCTAAACATAATCCAGGCTGGTCTTGACACTCATTGAAAAAATAGATTGTATCCTTTCGAATTCCCTGTAAATAACAATATTTGCACCTTTTGTACATATACCTAACTTTTTTTATTATTTTTTGGAACTTTTTTTGGTAAATGAGTTTCAGAATTTCCTTTTTTAGTATTTATTTGAACATTTTGTTGTTTAGGTAATAGCCCTTGTATAACTGAAAGCCTGTAGTCATACAATTATGTTTGTTATACAAAAAATATGAGTTTATCAGTTTATAAGTGCATAAAATGTAAATCAATTTTCTTATACCATCTTAATGTTTTTCTCTAAAAGGATAATATGCGGACATTTGATCTTGCCTATCTATGCCGGACATGTTTTCGTTATATTTTTTTACTGAAATAGGCCTTTATCTTTACTTCTTTTTTTTTTTTGTAGTAATTTCATTCATTTCATGTGGAAACTCTGAACTTATCATTAATACGTCTTGTTTGTCCCTCCATTTCGCTACACAAATACCATCATTTGTATATCTACATAAACTTTCACCTTTTTTTAGTTTTTTTCAATGACATCTTTAAGATTATTTTTTCGATTGGACCGTAAAGTCCTATTACGTATATTTTCTTAGTCAATAATTTCCTAGATAATTACACACTATTATAAAAGTTGTCCATGAATAATGATCTACCTTTATACAATAAGCCATCCATAAGTTTTTCTACCTCAACAATTATGATTTATTTCATAGAAAAATAACAATTGTCTATCAGTTTTATCATATCATATTGATAACACGTTTTATAAGCATAAAAATGCCGGGAAACCGAAACCCCAGCTGTTTGTTGTTGCTCTAATACTTATACTGAATGACTGTGCTAAATATAATAATCGTTCGCCATCAGCCGACGATTTTATAGGAGACACAGAAATAATTGTGATCTGACGACTACGGGTCGTCATCGGCTGGGCGCGCCCAACATCGTATGATGTCTGTCGTCACCGGCGTTGTACGTGTTAAAATATACTTAAGAACTCAAGGAAAAAATTATAATACAAAATAAAAACTAAATTTAATTGGTTTTAATGATTTAATTGTAGGAAAATTATTTTGAAGAATTTACTTGTATTAATTGTATACTATTTATAAATGTTTAAGGAAATGTTTGCGTTTCATGTTTGTGATAGAAAACGTTTAGAAAATAAAACCACTGATATAAAAGAACAGCAAGAGACCAATATGCAAATTTTGAAAGAAAGTTACAAAGAACAACTGAAATATGAAGATGAGAAATATGTTAGGACAGAAAAAGATTTATTTAATATAAATAATGATTTAAAAACGTGAATATTAATATTTAAAAATATATTAAGAAATTAATTGATGCTAATTACGATTTAGACGAACAGAAATAATTTTAATGACACATGAGAAAAATATGCAGGAATTAGCCAGAAAATTCAAAAAAGATCTGAAAGAAGAAGAGTACATATTCCAAAAAGTATGTTATGTTAAAAATAAACACCACCACAGGACTAGTTTATCATATTACAAATACTATTAATAGTTCAAAGATGAGTTGAGCAAAGAAATGAATCGGTATGATATAGAGATAGATGAATTTGACTATCAAGGAGATCGGGAAGTTTATGGGTTATTTAACAATACTGTACCTGAATATCAAAAGTTGTCAAGGCAAATTAAAAAAATAAAAGAAGAAGTTAGTGTTCTAAAGGTTAGGATTAAAAAGTAAGTGTCTCTTAAATGATATGATTAAAGAATGGTAAAACATATTTAACTTTATAGTGCTAAAAAAGAAGAAGAGGATCTAAAGTTTTTAATCGATAAATTTGAAGAGGACATTGGGAAAATGATAGCAAATGAGAAAACGTTAGAAGAAAAAATCGAAGTGATGGAAAAAACCATGCAGGAGTGCAATGCGATTATACAAGGCAAAGATAAATGGATGGACAATGAGAAATTGAGTATGAAAGACGTGGAAATACAAATATTAGTTTTGAGGTTTAATAAAGAAGAACAAATTAAAGTTATCAATCCATTGAAAATGAAACTTGATGATTTAAAAGCATTCGAAGAATCAGTGAGTACATTGGAAAAATAAATTAAATTTTTTTTATACCTATTTTTACGGTTAAAACAATATTTACCGTAGATGTTGTTTTATGCATACGAAATTATTAACTCAATGAAATCTATGCACTTGAAATGTGATACGCTAAAACAAAAGATAAAATCTAAAAGAAAAGAAACAAAACAAATTGTCGCAGGGATCAGTATTCAAGAAGCGTTTATTAAATCCATACAATTTGAAGCATACTACATCTATATGAACGTGGATGACGGAGTCAAATTAAGAGATTCCATTAGAGTAAATTAAACATTAAAATACCTATACTGTTTTGACTAAACAGGCACAGATGATTCATACCTATTAGATTTCTAATGCTGGGATAGTTGTACAGTTTTAGATATGATTAATGTTTTTGATATTTTAATGTGTTTATTTCAGAATTTACATCTTAAATTTACAAATATAAATTGGTTGGAAGGAACGAAATCAAATGATTTGTTAAGGCAGAGACAGTTTCTAGAAAGAGCCGTGTTTAACCTCGAACGCCGCAAAACTGCAGCTGCTGAACGACAGAACCCTTTGCAATTCAATATTATTGAAGAAAATCAATCTCTTCTACTAATAGTAAACAAGTTGAGGAAAGAAACAAAGACGAACCAGTCTAAGTACAAAGAGTTACAGTGTACAAAAGAGAAAAAATATCCATCAGTATTGGTCGAAAATGTCAATGAGGAAGATGATTCATTTAAAAAACTATGAACAATGGTTGTTTATACAACAAAAATAAAATCTGTATCACATATTGATTGAATAAAACCTTTAGCCTTAGATGTAGTCATGCATGATTTCTTCTATTTAGTAATTTCAGTAAGTAAAATAACCAGCTGTGGAACTATTTTTTTAAATTGTAATATACCATCATGAATTTAAACCCGTCTTGTTGACTTAGGCCAATTTTATGGCCGATTTTATGAATTATTAATTAATGTTTTTTGGCAAATATTTTATGTTGAAAAGATCAATAATAGCTTTTAAAATACCAATTGTGTTTCTTATAGGTAGTATAGTTGAAGCCTGAGCCAATGAATTATTTAGAGCATGATTGAAACAATGTGATTTTTACATTCAACTTTTTTCTTTTTGTATTTCCGATACTGTACCACAAGATTCTGACACTCTTGAATCAGTTTCACCAAACTGATCTCCTTCAGACTCTACTACTATGTCATCAGTATTGTAATATTCTTCCTSGTTCTCACTACTAGAACTAGTAGAACTACAAGCCTGATAACTACAGGAAGGCTCATCATCGTCATTGTTAACGGTTAAAGATTCTTGGTTTGTTTGTACACTTTTTACCGGTTTTGACACTTCCAGGTCTCGATTATTTATATGTTCATAAATAAATAGTAACTTTTTGGCTGTTAAATTTGTGAGGCGATTTCTCCTTTTAGTATGGATGAG